CCCCCCCCCGCAATCAAATGCCTCCCCGCAGGCAGCTGCATGCACGCCTGTGAGCATGTAGGCCTGGAGTGGCGTCAGGCCCTGGGTGACTGGCAGTCCCGGGCCCGCCAGCCGGCGCGCGGCGGCCGCCGCCTCGCGCTCCCGCCCGCACCCCGCCATCCGCGCGTGCAGGTAGTGCATCATGGCCGCGCCCTCCACCTTGTGCAGCACCAGCCAGCCGGCGCAGAGGGGCTCCCAGGAGCGCAGCGTCCACAGGCCTCGGGCGCCACGGGGGTCCCCGCCCAGATCCGCCTCCTCCAGGCAGCAGGTTCCGGCCGAGGCCATGACTAATGGGTGGTCGACCCGCGCCAGGTTCAGGCCGTTGACCCAGAACCCAAAGGTGGCGTCCTCGTTGGGCATGGTCTTCAGGGCGGTGAGCTGGATCCGGTGGGAAGTGGAGGGTTGGGGGGGTGTTAAGGGGTGCTTGGGGGGTGATGTGGTGCAGGCAGGTGCGGGTCGAACATCCCTAGCAAGGATCGCGACTTTTCCAATCCTGCCAAGGCCCCGTCGACCAGCAGCAGAGCAGTGTCCCCCATGGACCCATCCGCCGCCCTCCAAGGGCGCTCGCCTGGTGGGTCAGGTGCAGGGCGCGGGCTATGTCGGAGGAAAAGACGTAGCCACCGCCAAACATGTAGGGGAAGTACTCCTTCAACCCCGTGTACTTCCAGTACTCCTCGTTGCTCCACTTGTTGCCCTGTGGGCATGTGTTTTGGTGTGCACATGTGTTGAATAATTGGCACCGGGACCACGACAGGCCTGCTGAGAGGCAAATCTGTTTTGCCCACCAATGAGGACTTGAATGCATTGTTGAGAGACATGCAACCCCACCAACTCGCAGGTAGAGAGGGGACAGACAGGGGCAGCCTCTCCTCGGCCGACCACATTTGCACCCATGTAAGTCTCACCGAGGTGACGATAACCTCCCCCTTGCGTTTCTCCTCGCCCCAGTACAGCCGTTCATTGCGGCAGTCGGCATTCTGGCACCTGTGCGGGGCCGTGCGCATGCGTGGGAGGGTGTAGAGCTGGAATCTTGTCGCCAGGGAGGCTCATGAGAGCATACTAAAAGGCCTGAGCATGGATAGGCAGCTCCAAGGGCTGGAGGCATGGTTGGTTAAACCTGCCGAATTCCTCTCAGAAGGAAGGTGACCTCACCAAGCAACCCCCCAGGAACATAGCCCAGTCTCCCAATCTCCCGACCTGGAGCGCAGATCCTTCACCAGGGCAGGGCAGTCTATGTAGGCATCATCGTCGGTCTTCATGATGAAGTTCGGATTGGTGTGGGCAACCACCCACTCCACCATGGACCATACCTGCATGTTGCATCAGTAACAAGTACTCATGTGGGGTGAGGGAGCCGAAGACCTCAACAACTGGGCTGCGGAGACCTGAACACGTGTGGAGTCGTAGCACCTAGCAAGCCCAGAGTATTGCTGCTCCCACATTCTCCTCCGCCAGAGAGGAAAGGTGACAGCCTATTCCCAGAGCACTGGTCCGCAGGCAGTGCGATTGTTGTAGGGAGTGGTCAGAGCTCAGTGCTCAGATGCACACCGCCGACGAATTGCTCACTCCCCCAGCGCCCACCTTGACCACGATGGACCGGTAGTCGATTTGACCCCGGCTGGGGACAAATACCATGTCCCCATACTCGGCGGCTTCCTCCCGGATCCTGGCACTCCGTTCCTCCTCGTACAGCACAAACTTCACCATCACCTGGTGCAGGACAGTGCGGAGATGGTTTGGTGCCCGGACCAGTGACTGCAGAACGGCGCGGCAGCATTGGAGGTGGCTGGGCAGCCCTCAACGTCGCCCCTTCCCATCCCTTCATACCTCTGGCGGGGCGGTGGCCATCCAGGTGGCACGGACGGCGTTCCTTCGTCCCCGAGACCCGCCAGTGCTCAGCACACCCACAAACAAGAAAGGCTCGGGCAGCCTCACGCTCTGGCGGAAGGAGGGGTGGATGGGCAGGCTGTCGTTTAAACCGGCCCCGCCCCAGCCGCCCTCGCCTGTCTGAGGCATGGAGGAGAGCACGTCAATCTGGGCCTGGAGGCGGGCCATCTCGGTGCGGATTGCCGCTGCCTCAGCCTCGAGGTGCTTCACCCAGGCTTCCTCTGTGAGTGGGGGGCAAGGGGGAAGGGTACATTTTGGTGTTTTGAGAGGCTTTTGACAGAGTAAGAGGCAGGCCCTGGTAACCTCAACACACACACACAAACACACACAAGAGTCTTACCCTTGGGATCTGGGTGGGTGCAGGTGGCTTGGCCACCCCAGGAGGGAAAGAGCGCCTGGGACTGCCAAAACATGAGCCAGAGGAGGAGGCAGGCGAGGCTGAGCAGTGCTGGGAGCCATGGCTTCCTGGCTGTGGTAGGCTGACGCGCCTCCAGGAGGATGGAGCTGCTTGAGGCGTGGCGAGACGGCGAGAAGCGTGGCACTGGACGGGAGCCATCCCAACTCGCACTGCAGCGGAGCAGGGGCCGATACCTGCCCAGAGGTAGTCTTTCTACCATTTTAGAAAGACAGTACAACGTCCAGCTCCTCGCATCGGGCCCGGCTGATACCCTCCACCCCCAAAACTCGACTCCTTGCGGGGTCTTTATCCTCTCACCCCCGAGACTCTGCAGCTACCTCAGTCAATTCAAGAACCCATCAAAGGCATCGGATATCCTCAAAACGTCTGCCATTGCCCTCCACATTCAACGTGGGTGAATGATGTGGGTTGATCGTCAAACCTCTGGGTCCACGCGCTCGCGCTCTGTGCTATGCAACGCACCAGAAATGGAACTGCCGGAGTACTACAAACGAGTTTCCCGCTGATTCGCATATGCCAGCTCGTCGTTATATATATTTACTCCATATTCACTGCACCGTTGCCTGCGTCTGTCCTTGCAGGGACGGTCCGCCATGGCCAAGAGCCTGCGCTCTAAGGTTAAACGGCACTTCCGACTCCTGCGGCGGGATGTGGTGAATGCACATGACAACCAGCTGTCAAAGGAGGAGCAGCGTCAAGCAGCTATGGATGCAGCGGCGGCCGCACCGCCGGTGCCGACACGGAAGGCTCCCTCCCCTTCCGGTGAAGAAGGCGCTGAGGAGGTGGCCCAGGGCATGGATATCGACTCCAGCAACCTCTCAACCCTCCCAGAGTATGATGACGTGATATGACGACGTGGCAGGGTTCTGGGATGCTGGTTGGTGTGTGTGCCGGCAGCTGCATGCCCCTATCAACATGCTTGTGCCAAATGCTCTTGGAGGTGGTGGCATGGTTTCCCCTCGACCAGTTCACCCCCCGATATCCTTCGCAGGGTGACCCCGCAGAATAGTGCCAAGATCCTGAAGAAGCTGCGGGCCCAGCGGCTGGCTGCAACAAAGGGCGTGCAGGCGTCCAGCAAGAAGAAGAAGGCTACCGGCGCCCTGGTCGCGGCCACCCGGTCGAACAAGAGCAAGTCCAAGAAGCGCCGCTGAATAACAGTACCAAAGAATAGTATGGCTGATTTGGGCCCCGCCTGCTCGAACTTCCCTTTTGCTTGCTTCTCCTCGTTTGTCACCCAGGTTTAAATGGCAGAGCATTCATGGCCCGGGTGCACTGCCGGGCAGGAGAGGGGGACCCCCTTGGAGTATCGCAGGTAACAGGCATGCATCCGGGCCGAGCGACACGCTGCGCTGCGGCAGTTGCCAGCAGGGAGCCTAGCTCCTTGACCCACCCTGCATCCCTGTCGCCCGCGGTAGGCCTCCGGTGGGCACCCGACCTGCCGCTCCGCCAGGCGTCCCAATCCTCGCCGGCTCACTGGGGTGAGCACGGGCTCCAGGCTGTGCGCCCGGCGGGGCGCGGGAGGACCCGGGGCCGGGCCGGGGTCGTGCGGGCCCCTGGCCCCCTGGTCCCCCTTGGGCCGCTGGTCCCCCTTGGCCCCTTGGCCCCCTCTGGGCCCCGGGCCCCCTCGGGCCCCCCGCCCCTCCGGGTCTCCTGGGCGGGCCGCCGCTGGCCCTGCCCTGCCCCGGCCCCGGCTCCGACTTCGCCAGTGGCCCGCGCACGGCGTTGGCGTGCAGGGGAGGGGGCCTCCAGCCCTGCGCGGCGCGCAGGGCCTGCGCCCGGGCATACAGCCGCTCCGCCTCGGCCAGCTGCGCCACGATGCTCTCCGCCTTGCCGCCCATGCCCTGCCCCACGGGCGCCAGCTGCACGCCCCACTGGTTCTTGAACGCCTTCTCCAGGTGCTTGATGTCCTTCAGCACCGCCACGCCTGGGGCAGGAGGGATGGGGGGCGAGGCGGAGGTGGCATGGCTCCGCGCTGCGCGCCCCACAGTTCACAGGATCCCGGGAGGGGGGCCTGCGGCACCAGCACCCACTCTGATGCCATTGCCCGCCGGCGCACGTCTGTTGGCTTCCGCTGGTGTGCAGCCCTTCTTCCTGCACGTGGGTCGAAGGGCCCCCAACCCCCCTCATCCCCAACCAGTCCACTTGAGGCACCTTCTAGGTGGGCGAGGATGCTCAGGACGACGCCGCGCGCCTCCGCCAGCTCCCGCGCGCCCTTGAAGAGTACGGAGAGGCGCAGGTGCTGGCCCTCCTCCAGGAAGGCCCGGGCCCGGCCCACCTTCAGGGCCAGGTCGTTGGGCGCGGCCCGGCACCCGATACGCACCTCCTTGGGGTCCGCCAGCCGCTGCTGCTCCCGCTGCTGCTTTGCTGCGGTCTTGGCCTTCTTCCGCATCTCGTACAGCACCTGGGGGGGTGCTTTGGGGTGGAGAGGGAGTGACAAGGTCGACAGCGGGCATGTGAAGGCGACTCGCAGGCGCAGGGTCAAGGCCGGGCAGGGGTCTCACTGTGCGCAGGGTGCAGCGACAATGGCTCGGTGCAGCGACAGTGCAAGAACGTGGGGCCTGGGCCGGCACCAGGATGAGCCCATGATCTCACAGCCTTCGCGCCAGACCTGGATCCCAACCCCTTCCCTGCAGTGTGGGCACCAGGCAACCCTACGACACTTACATCCCCACCACTGCATACACACAAACCTTGTCAAAGTCGGCGATGCGGACGACGGGGGGCCGTGCGACGGCGGAGACCATGATGAGGTCCAGCTGCCGGGTTCGTGCTGCAGCCAGCGCATCACCCAGCGCCACGACCTCAGTGGCCTTCCCCTCTGCCTCTGGGTACACCAGCCGCACCTCCTCCGCCCTAATCTCCTGGTTCCTGGAGGAATGGGGATGGTGCGCGGTTGGTTTCTGGGGTGGTGCGGAGGGGCAGTCCTTGGGATACTTCCGAGCCGAACCAACAGATGAGCAAGGGCCGAAGTCACTCCCTGGTGGGCATCGGCTGTAGCCTCTTGGCAGCTATGCTTCTTCGGGTACGCCCACCCACATCACCTCTCCATCCCCGGACTCACTTGAGGGGCGCAGCGGCGAGCTCGGGCTGGTTGCCGCGTTGCGGCTTGCGGCGGGGTGACGCAAAACCCCGGGCCGCCCATGGCAGACCCGGGGCAGGCAGAGCAGTAGGCGAGAGCGAGCCAGCTCCTTGTTGCAGGGTCGCCAGCGGCCCCTGCAGAAGCTCCAGCTGAGGGCAAAGCTTCCAAGCAGACCCTGCACCCCGTCTGCTGGCCGCTGTAGCCGCCGTGGCGAGGGCCAGGCTCAGGCGGCTGCGGAGCAGCGATGCCATGGCCACCCGCTTGGGTCAAAAGAAAAAACCGCCCTTCTTATTGCGCTCCTCGATGCGACGCTGCCTCCTCGTGTCCAGCTTGAGGGAAGGAGATGGGGAAGGAATGGTAAAGTGGAGCAGTAACACTCCTCCTCCATTTGCCAGCAGGCTATGGAACCGGGAGCCATCCCCCCCAGCAGACAGCAGCGGGACGTAGTGCCAGTACACACGAGGGCCAGCGAGACATAATACCCTACCTCCTGCTGCTTGCACTGCTTGTACGCCTCGAAGGCGGCCTCACAGAGTGCCTTGTTGTAGTTGTTGTCCGCCAGGCCTGGGATGTAAGCGGGATGGGGCCGAACGTAGATTTTCGGATTCGCAGGCATGGAGAGGGTTCAGGGAGCAAGGAGGCATTACATACGCCACACGCACACTTGAGGGACGCCTGCGAGAGGGAGGCGCACTCCGAGTCGGCAAGCTTTTGATGCGCCCCCTCCTTTTGCATGACCGGAAGCGGGCAGAATGGGCTTGATCTAACTCGGATGATGGTTCACGGATCGCTAAGCAATGCTCCTTGGGCTGGTTCGTGTGGACGACAGGGGTTTGGGCCCGCAGAGGGCGCGCCGGCATGCGTCGGCATTGGGTTTCACGACACCACGAGCGGGGTGGGGTCTGCAGTCCGGGGTACACTCTCGTAGGTGCTGGTCAAGAGCACGGGGGGGACCCTTGGCCCAAGCCTTGTATTATTGCCACCTTGAGTCACAAGTCAGTCATGGGACGGAGTTCCAGGTGTTGGGCTGGGTTGCACAATTTCTGCAGCAGGTGCTACCCACTCTGCCCATCCCCTCCCAGCTCCGAGCAGGCCAAGGGCAGGGCCCTCTTCCTGTACCTACCGCCCAGCGCCAGCGCCAGCAGGTCGTGCTCCTCCACGAACCTGTGCATGCAATGATTGGTGCTGTGAGGGTGGGCAAAAGCAGAACATCATACATTCACTAGACCTGTACAAAGCGTGCCGGCTCCGAGGGGAACCCCGCCCCGCCTTGGTGGTCTACAATCGACCCTGGGGCACCCACCACAGGCGGTCCAGTGTCAGCTGCAGCCCGCACAGGTCCCGCGTCATGGCCTCCGCGGCAGCGTGCAGCCTCGCGGCGGGACCCGTGCCGTCGGGCGCGGTGCCCGGCGGCGCTACGAGACGGGCAAGGGTCGTGTGCAGGATGTCCTGCTCCCTCACTGTCTGCGTGGTTAGAGAGGGGGGTAGTAGCAGGTCGGGATTGGGTTCCGAGATTGCGATATCATTACTGTTTGGTATCGGGTGAGCAGCAGGCACCTGCTGCCGCCCTGGTGGACTCGGACTCCACCATTGGCCGCTTCAGCATCAGGTTCGCAGCCAGTTATACATGGACGCTCCCCACTGTTTCCACGCAACCCCTGCTACCTGGGTGGTGGGAGCCTCGGGCAGCGCGGCCCTCAGCGCGGTGCGGAGGCGCGCGGGCTCGGCCCCTCCCAGCAACTGCCAGCAGGCCACCAGCGCGCCGCCGGGGGTGGCGACCACACGCTCCAGCACAGTGCGCATCGGGCACAGCGCGTCCAGCGCGGCCGAGGCCGCGCCCACCTCCGCGTCGATTGTCCGGCGTGGGGCCGCCCTTGGGTCCTGCGTCGGTGGGTAAATTGGAGAGTCAGGGATACTCCGCTCCCAAAGCCATACAGATGCTGGACTTGAGCACCCCAATCACCTGCCAGTTTCCTCCCTCCCCAGCTCCCGTCAGCAGGCACGCACGGCATGGGTTGAAGCGTGGAAGATGGTGGCGTGGTACACCCGGGGGTCCTGCATCCACAGCCCGTTCTCCGCCAGCAGCGGCTGGACGTGCGCCTGCACCGCCGCCAGCAGCCGTCTGCATGTCGAGTCCAGCGCAGGGGAGGCCCAGGTCAGAGTCTAGGGCCGGCCGCGGGGGTGTGCCGAGGTGGTGTTGGCCGGCGCACACGCGACGCAGAGCTCAGGACGGGGTGCCCCGGCCCGCCACACAGACGAAACACTCACCGCACTCCTGCCACACCCACCTGGCAACCACCTCGTCACCGATGGGGGCCACCAGGGCCCGAACAGGCACCTCCAGCCGCATCAGCACCGGGACCAGGGTGCCTCCTTGTGTTCTGAACAGCTCGCCCAGCGCGTGGCCCTGGGTGCCCGCCGGCCCTGGGAAAAAGAGGGCGCAGGTGGTCAGTCTGACGAGAACGGCGGCGCAGTAGGGGGACCTCGTGGACCCCGCCCTTGGGCACAGAGGCTTCCATCTCAGGCATGGGCACCGTGCAACTGCGCTGTGACCCTGCAGACTAATCCCGTATGGACTGGGTGCAGGGAAGGCAACTCACGACGTTGAATTCCCCCAAACCCACCCCCGTATTGTCTCACCATCCAATTGAAGGGGGGTCGACAGCAGGGCGCTGGCCATGCCCTCATACAGGGCGTGCCGCGCGGCAGTGGGATCGGGCGGCGAGGCCCCTGCCACGCCCTCTAGTCTGGAGGAGGTGAGCCCCCGCCCCGCCAGCCGCGAGGCACAGGTCTCCGACCCCGGTCCCATCCAGAAGGACGAGGAGACGAGGTCGTGCTGCCGCGAGGACAGGAAGATCATGCACCCTGCGCGCAGAGGGGCGAGCAGTTATAGGAAAGGAGGACACTAGAGCTGCACATGGACCCAGGTGTGTCAGCAGAACATCTCCCTCCCTCGAGATGCAGCCACCGCACCAGCCATGAGAGACGCGAAAACAAGTCCAAGACATATGAGCAGTGCTGTAGACTTAGGCCGGCGGGAGTGCTTGAAGGAGATAGCGGACGCTGTACTGTCCGTCCGCCTGCTGCTGCGCCCCTGCATGGCTGTGCCTGTCTCTCACGGCGAATCGGAGAGCCTATGTCGAGAACAGCTCTAGATTGTGGAATGAGTCCTCAATTCGCGAAACGTATGTGGGAGAAGGGCCGCAAATTCTCAGGGGCTCATGCTGTTCTGCTCCCTTAATCGGAACTCGAAACCTCAGTGCCAACTGCAAGGACAAGTGGGTGGGCCGGCATCACATGTCTTGGAAGGGTGACACATCCATGCCATCGAAATCTAACTGCCACAAACTCACATCCGCTGTGTGACATCGCGGATCGTGGCAACCTGTCGGGCATAAACTTTGCAGGAAATCTTGCTGTGCGTGCTGTGCGACCCTGGGAAGGGTTGCCCAGCACGGAAACCATTCGCACAACACCGAGCCAATTAGGTTTGACTTGCGACCATCTCCAGTCATCCTTGCTATAGTTGGATTATACTCTAGCTGAATTAACTCGCTGACGGTACTCCTTCTTGGCAGCACCGAAAGGGTTTGTGAGTTCGCTTGAGGCTGGCCCTTGGCCTCTCCGCGATGACAGGTGCCGCGTCTCAGGGGGCTGGACTGGCTGTCCGACTGAAGACCTTCATAAATAGTCCGACTGGTCCCCGGACGACCCACTTTTGGGGCCCAGTTGCGAACTGGGGCTTCGTCCTCGCGGTGAGGCATTGATGCTGGATGCGCAGGCGGTGTCTCTTCCGCCTTGGATCATTAAGACCTCACAAAGCAGCAGGCGTGATGCTTGATTGACAGACACATGCTGCCAACAGGGCCTCGCCGACTCGCAAAAGCCCCCGGAGATGATCTCCGAGAAGATGACTGGAGGTCAGCTGGGTGATGAGGATCTTGTGAGCACTGGGCTCATGCTTCTATGTCACTCTTCCCAGGCACGGCTTGTGGATGCGCTCTCACACCTCCCGGAAATGACCAGGGCTCTAGACAAAGCTGACCTCCCCCGCCTCCCGCTCCGCCTTCCCAGCCATGTGCATCTACAGCCTGCTGTTCATGCGCTTTGCCTGGATGATCCAGCCGCGCAACTACATCCTCCTGGCGTGCCATGCCGCCAATGAGACGGTGCAGCTGAACCAGCTCCGGCGGTGGTACTCTGTGCAGGTGAGAGAATGTCGAGGTTGTATGAGCAGGCTCGGCGCTGTGATACGGTTTGGCAGGTGGCTAGTATTCTCTGATGGTTGTACACTGCAGAATATTTCTGAATGTACTCTCGCTCTTGATTGTGCAGGGTGGGAGCTTTGCAGCCGGTGGAGTGGCGGCCTGAGCAGAGGGGTGCTGCTGGCGGACTATGTTTTTCAACTTTCTAGTCTCGATGGACAAGGGCAACCTGGCCGGGAATCCTTGTTCATCCCTGGCTTGGCATACTGGAAAGTCCGCATGGGAACAACTGCCCGAATAGGTGATGGTGTGGACTCGATGTTGGGGGCAATGTAGCTTGAAATGCCCACTTCCTCTGCTCCAACACATGCTACAAGAAACAGTTCTTTGGCAGTTCGGAATGATTCCTACAAACTGTCGAGGCTTGTATCCTTGCAACGTTCCCTGGCATGGGTCATAATTCAGGGATGTCAGGCTTCAGCGTACTCCTCGATTGTCCCGTATAGCATATGGACATTGTGTGAGACCCTTCATTCTTGCTTTCGGTGTGACGATGAGGTAGGCTTGCCACTCGAATTCCGGGCGCGAAGGTCCGATGGTTTGACGATATCTCGTGCCCACAGCGGCAATGGGTCTACAACTCAATATGCAATTTTAGTAACTTTTATCTGGAATGTTGTCCCATCAGATGTGTTAGCAGTCGTATCGGAGAGCCCAGAGCGAACAGCACCATGGTCGGTGCGAGGTGCCTCACTCCGTTGCCGTGCGGGTGGCCTGCCCCGATAACGGCACGGCGACCATGCAGCGCCCCTCGAATCAATCGAAAAGACATTATAACAGTGGATCTGCGGCTCGGCCACCCATCGGTGGGCCTCAGGCGCTCCCAGAGGGCGTGGGCCCCCCGTTCCGTCGCCACAGCCCCGGACGCTTCCGGCAGCCTATCCGGCAGCCTCGATGAGGCAGACATGGACCTGGATCTCGATGCCCCAGCCAAGACCCTCACCCTCCAGGACCTCAAACTCCTGGGCCAGGGCCGCAACGGGGAGGTGTACGACGGGGGCGTGGTGAGCTCCCCCCGGGACCTGGCACGGGGCCTGGGCACCTCCCCGCACAGCGGCCTCGCCGAGGACGAGGCCGGTCTGACCGCCCGTGCCGAGCGCTACGGCTCCAATGCCTTCCCCGAGCAGGCCAGCGTGTCTTTTTTTGAGCTGGCAGTGGAGGCCCTGCAGGTGCTGAGAACTTGGCTTGTGGGTGCTGTAAAAGGGAGGGTGTTGGAGGAGGGGAAGGGGCATAAAACATGCAGACCTGCCCCAGCCATGAGGGGCCAGCCAGGTCCCGCCATGAGGCCACAGACCAATCAAGCAGTTTGTGTACATCACTGCGCACCCCCAACATCCCTTCCCACCCCACCCCACCCCACACACACTCGCACACCGCAGGACTTCACCGTGCTGACGCTGATCGGCGCCGGCACCATCTCCCTGGCCCTCTCCCTGCTGGTCTCCGGCTCCACCGCCCCCGGCGCCGAGCCCGGAGGCGGGTCCTTTGTGGAGGGCGCCAGCATCCTGGCCTCCGTCGCGGTGGTGGTGGCGGTGGGCGCGGGGAACAACTGGCAGAAGGAGCGCCAGTTCCGCGCGCTGCAGGCGCTGCAACGCGACGAGACGGTGCGCTGCGTGCGCTGCGGCGCGGAGCGCGCGCTGGGCGTCCAGCGCCTTCTCCCCGGCGATCTGCTGCTGGTGTCCGCCGGCGACATCCTGCCCGTGGACGGCGTGCTGGTGGGCGGCAACGATCTACGACTGGACCAGTCCGCGCTGACGGGGGAGGCAGGCGAGGTGCTGCGCGACCCCGAGCACGCGCCGTTCCTGCTTTCCGGCAGCAGGGTGGTGCGCGGATCGGGGCGCATGCTAGTCACCGCGGTGGGCGGCCAGTCCGCCTCGGGCGCCATCGCGCGCGCCGTCATGCAGCGCAAGGGTGGCGGCGGCGGGGGCGACGGCGGCGAGCTCAGGTGGGGAGGGGTGTGCTTTTGGGCCTGGGTTTCTGGAAGCGGCGGGATCTGGTGAAGGGTGGGGTGAAGGTGCACTGCGTGGAGACCCCAGAAAATCACACCAGCTGGCATAGATGGCTGTCAATGGGGTGGGCCCCCCACCCCCACCGCACCCCTCCATCTCCTCACCGACAGGGAGCCGACGCAGCTACAGCAGAAGCTGGAGGTGTACGCGACCACCATCGGGAAGTTTGGCATCGCGGCGGCCCTGCTCTCCACCTCCGCGCTCATCGCCCGCTTCAGGTGAAGACGCTGGTGGGGGATGGGCTGCCGGAACACATTAACATTGGCTGGCACGGAGCGATTCCATGTCAGCTGCAACACTCGTCGTCTTCCGGCAGGTACAGACCATGGCCGAACCCTCCACCTCCCCCCATCCTGGCCGCCTTCCCTCCATGACACTGTAGTTGGATGACTTTCGTGGTGGAGGCCAAACCCTGGGACTGGGTCTATGCGCAGGACATCCTGGACGCCCTCATCATTGGCATCACCATCCTGGTAGGCAGCGCGCTGGGGTGCCATGGGCAAGGGAAGAGCAGGGGTCGGGGAGTGGGTGCCGGTGAGGGGAGAGACGTGCATCCGAGATGCAATGGGTGTGCTGGAATGGACTTTGCACAGCGCGAGCGCGCCGCTGCCGGTACTCACCCTCCGACAGTGATGTCGGCAGTGCCCCCGATCAAGAGGGCATCCTTGACCAAACACCTCCCTCACACCTCCCACACCCAAACATAAAACAGGTGGTGGCCGTGCCCGAGGGCCTCCCGCTTGCGGTCACGCTGTCGCTGGCGTATTCCGTGAAGCAGATGCTGGCAGACCATAACCTGGTGCGGCAGCTGCAGGCATCGGAGACCATGGGCACCGCCACCGTCATCTGCTCCGATAAGACGGGTGTGAGGGAGCGGGGCCCCTGCTGGGTTTGCAGGATGTGGGTGAGGCATGGCACCCCCTGTTGCCTGGTGCTGGGGGGCTGGGATGCTGTACCAGAGGCATTGCCCTCACACCTTCCCACCCCCACCGCCACACCAAATGTGCCCACTAAACAGGCACCCTCACCCAGAACGACATGACGCTGACGGGGCTGTGGATGGGGGGCCGGGAGGTGGGCTCCCTGGTGGAGGTGCACACGCTGCCAACCAAGTCTCGGCCAGAGCAGGAGCTGCAGCCGCCGGGGCCCGTGCTGGAGACGCTGCTGGAAAGCTTGGAGGATCACAGTGGACAACGGCAGAGTTCCCCTGGGGCCGTCGCGTCAGCGAGTTCCTCTGAGCGACAGGACGCGGAGAGAAAATTTCAGCGCCCGAGCAGCGCAGGGGCAAGCTCTGCAATGGCAGGGGCTGATGGCAAACCCGCCACCGCCGCGGCGGCGACTCCTCCGCCGACGGTGCTGCAGCGGCTGCGTGCCACCTTCTCCCAGCGCCAGCTGGAACTCCTGCTGAACAGCATCGTGCTCAACTGCGAGTGCAACATCTACACCGACGCAGCAGGCAAGCGGACATGACAGAGTGCTTGTCTGGAAGGGTGTGCTGCGCATTAGATAGCCATGGCATTATCCTGGCACAGTCGTGCTAGGGGTGAGGCAGAATGCTCCTCCCTTGGTACCAATGTGGCTTGCATCCTCTTGGGAGGCCTCCAGGTCTTTCATATGGGGTTGCTGTCCAGTGCCCTGTGCTCTGGCTGGTTGTCAACCGCCCTAACCGCAAGTCCTCGTAGCCGTGCCATCCTTAAAACGGCACCTGGCCCCTCCCCTCTTTCCAATCCAGCAGGCGTGCTGCAGCAGAGTGGATCCAGCACGGAGCTGGCACTGATGCGACTGGCGCTGCAGGCCGGGGCGGACCCGGACGCGGCGCGGCGCGCCAACAGGGTGCTCGCGCGCGTGCCCTTTACCTACACCCGGAAGCGGAGCCTGGTGGTGGTGCAGGGGAGGGAGCAGCCATGGCGCAGCAGCGGAAAGCACCGCTACTACAAGGAGTGAGAGATGGGGAAGGGAGGAGGGGGCTGTTGGCTTTTGGGAAAAGGTGCCTGCGTGTTGCACCTGGGCTTGCGGGAGAGAGCCTGTAATGGAGCGGCCATTGAGGGTCCAGTGTCGCCTGCGCGGTGTGCACACCTGTGACGCAACGGCGCCCATACACGAATCATGGCGTTGGAGCTCTTTGGCCCTGGCATGATTCTCCGCAACACTTGGCACCAAAATTCTAAAACTACCCTCCCACCCATCCTGCAGGCCACAGGTACCGCTGCGTGCATATACCAAGGGCGCCCCAGAAATCGTGATCGGTCTTTGCAAGTGGCAGCTGGCCCCAGATGGGAGCCAGGAGCCGCTGGACCCGCACCGCCTCCAGGGGTTCCTGGACCGATGCCAGCACTCGGGCCAAAGGTACAGTCGGAGGACAGAGCCTTTGTTGCTGAGGAGGTGGTGTGGTGGACTGTGCCGCTTCAGCAATCAGTGTCCCAGCTTGAGTGTACCCACGGCATTCCCGCAGGTCAGGTAGTAAAATCACTCAACCCTACCTCTCTCCCCTTGCCTCCAATCCACGCAACCCACTTGTCTCTGTAGGATGGTTGCCCTGGGCTTCAGGGACGTCTCCGTGCCCTCCCACACCCTCACGCGTCTGCGGTATGCCAGCGCAGCTGGCAGCGGTTCCGCCAGCTCCAGCGGCGACGAGGAGTGAGCACGTTTTGGGGGTGGGGGGTTGGAGAGGCAGAGTGTTTTCATGTGGTCTGGCGCATGGTTGTCACACATGATAATGACTTCTGCCGTTAGCATGCCCTCTTGCCAGGCAGTTGCATGTTGCGAGGGGCCCTGTGGCCCCGTCGCCGAGTTCACACAAGTCAGCTTTGCCTGCGCACCCTGCTCCTCTATTCTTGCTTTCCAGGGACTGGCGCCTGGACATGGCTGTTGCCGAGGATCTGGAGCAGGACATGGTCCTGGTGAGCCACTCCTGATTTGGCATGCATGGCTTCAAGTTGGGGTTCATGACGGGGAATCTGTAACTGGGGCCCTGGATTATGGAGCTGTGCACATCACAGCCACCTGTCGAGGAGCCCTGGGTGTCCAAGCATTCCAGCTTGATCTGGATCTTTCGCTCCTCTGCCCAGTTGGGCGTTTGTGCCATAGAAGACCCCCTGCGCCCCGAGGTGCCGGGCGCCATTGCAGCTGCGGCCAGGGCCGGCATCTCCGTGAAGATGCTCACTGGTGAGGAGGGGAAGAGGGAGAGAGTGGTTGGGAGGTGGGCTTTGCCTGGGGCTTGCAGAGCTCAAGAGGGAGGGGAGATGTTGCCCAGCATTGGGATGGACTGGAGGAGCGGTGCGCAGCGAGGAGCAAGGAGGGGCACCAGGACGATCTGATTGCTTCCCCTGACCCTCCCCATCACCACGTTGTGTCGCGCAGGTGACAACGTGGCCACAGCCGCCGCCATTGCTCGCCAGGCTGGCATCCTCCCGCGAGACGCGCCCGCCACCCACGGGCTTCATGTCGTTGGGGTTCGAGAATTTGAGACCGAGCCGGCGGCTGCAGGAGGGACTACGGCCCTCCTCCCCGACACGGTCATGGAGGGCGAGGAGTTTAGGTCCCGCATCCTCAGCCCCTCTGGAGCCATCATCGAGGACGAATTTCTGAAGGTGACTAGGTTGTCCGTGTCAGGTGGGAGGACAAGCATGTGCATGCAGCCTGTGGCCAGGGGTGTTGCTAAATCCACACAGAATTGCCGAGTACTGGTAGACACAGTCCAGCTTCCTGGCCGGTCGTGAAGCGCTGGCTACCCCTGCCCGCCGGCTCCACACCTCCAATTTCTCCCGCCGCCCCATTCCCCAGATCTGGCCCCGGCTCCGGGTGCTGGCGCGGTGCACCCCCGCCGACAAGCACGCCATCGTGATGGGCGTGCGCCAGTTCACCGATGACATCGTGGCTGTCACCGGGGACGGGACCAACGACGCCCCCGCCCTCCGTGCCGCGCACGTCGGCTTTGCCATGAACCAGGGTATGCGTGTGGAGGGGCTGTGGCATATAGGCGGCGGCCTGGTGGATCCCGAGAACTGCGGCAGGGTGCCGTTTTAGCGGCTGTGTTAGGGAGCTCCCCTCCCAGACAGACCTGAACTCAGCCACGAGTGACGCCCAGACGCTCCTCTCACACGCACCAGTCCCCCTGCCCTCCGGCCCATCAACCCAGGCACCAGCATCGCCAAGGAGGCCGCCGACATCGTGCTGCTGGACAACAACTTCGCCTCCATCATCTCGGCCGCGCTGTGGGGCCGCAATGTGTATGCCAGCGTCACCCGTTTCCTGCAGTTTCAGCTGACCACCAATGTCGTCGCTGTGGTCACCGCTGTGGCTGGCTCCTTGGCCACCGCGCGATCTCCGGTGACTGCCGTCCAGGTGTGTTGGGAGGGAGGGGGTGATGGTGTGAGTGGAGGCAGGGTCAAAGGTATCGAGGAGTAGGAAAGAAGGGCTTGCCAGGCGTCGACCATTGCGCCAGGCAGCGCAGGGAGGTGCCTGGACGCAGACCGATGAAGGCTACCATGAGGCAGCCTGCAGCCCTTAGGGTCAACCATACAAGCCCATCCCCCTCCATCTCACACGCTCAGATGCTGTGGGTCAATCTGCTCATGGACTCGCTGGCAGGGCTGGCCCTGGCCACCGAGCCGCCCTCCCCCAAACTCCTGGACCTGAAGCCTTTCGACAAGGGTGGGTGGGAGGGTGTACGTTGCTTTTCATCAGGCTGTACTCAAGTGGGACTGCACCGCCCCCCCCTGCTCTGCAGGGGTGTGAGGCAACCCTGGAGATTTTCAGATTGGTCCTCTCGTCCACATATGGCCGACCTGTCATCATCCCGCACTTCATCACCCCGCCACCCATCCACCTACACTTGCGCACAGACCACCAGTTCTTGGCCCCCGGCTCGACCTCGCTCCGGAATGTGGTGGGTCAGTCCACGTTCCAGCTCTGTGTCATGGCCCTGCTCGTCTTTGCAGCCCCTGGGCTCCTGGGCATTGACCCCGGGAACAGCTACCCGGCCCACACCCCATCCACCCACTACACCATAGTTTTCAACTCCTTTGTCTGGATGCAGGTGGGTGGGTGTGGGAATGCCTTGTGCTCTGTGGAAGGAAGGGTCTCATGGTAAGGGCACCATGCATGCGTGCTTACATGGTGGCAGTACAGCGAATGACTGAAGCGAGATCACTGGAACGATCGCGGAGACCAGCTGTCTTCGAGCCATGCAGCCCAGCTTCCCTCACCCGGGCGCTTGCCACCATGCACACACATCCTATCCTTTCCCTCTCTAGAAACCACATCAAACATCTCGACCTTCCCCACAACTCACTCTGCAGCTCTTCAACCAGTTCAACAGTCGAATGACCCTGAATTCATCCAGGCTGTGGGACGGCCTGAGCAAGGCCCGGCTCTTCTGCATCATCCTGGCCACGGAGGCCGTTCTCCAAGTCCTCATCGTGCAGGCAAGAGTGATTGAGGGAATTTTCATGGGTTTCCTCGTTGCCTCGATTCCTGGGACTGGGAACCGGCTCTCTGGAGAGATGCGCAAAGTGTGGAGGGTGACATGTGTGTATGGAAGCATGCGCACCTGGAAGGTGACTGCACCTTCCCACACGACCAGAGCAAGCACTGTCCCTGTCTCCCCATGCCACCCACTGCCAAACCATGCAGTTTGGGGGCCAAGTCTTCCAGACCCAGCCCCTGGAGCCCAAGTACTGGGCCATGAGCCTCGGCATCGGCGCCCTCTCGCTGTTGGTGCACGAGGCGCTGAGGACGGAGGAGAGCGAGGGCCAGTAGCCGTCGCCCGTTGTCCTCCGGCAAGGCCTCAGCGTGTGGTACCCCCCTCATACTATCTGCTTGTCATACAAACACGTTGCAGGGTCACTGGCCGCACCCCTTCTCCTGGATGGACTGCCTCTCCCCACCGTATTGCTTTGTTACTCCACCAGCTGCTGGCAACGTGGCTCTTTCAAAAGAGAAGAATCGGAGAATGAGTGCTGCAGGGTTCGTTCGCGCGCGCTCCTCCCCTCGCGTCACCGCATCTCCAGCAGCAGCTTGCCAGGGATCTCAACGTACCGCCGCCAGGCCTGGGCGAAGCCTGCCAGCATGGCGCCATCCACCACCCGGTGATCGGCCCCCAGCGAGATGTTCAGAATGGATTGGGGCACCACGCTGCGCCCGTCGGGGGCAAAGCGCGGCACGCTTTGCATCTTGCCCAGAGCCATGATGGCCACCTGTGGGAGCGGATGTGGGCGAGCGAGTGTCACGTGGTGAGGGTTTCGAGGTGGTGGGAAGGCCACGGCCGACCCGAGGAAGCATGAACTTCTTGAAGCTGGTACCAAGGGCTGAACCTCCCATCCAACGCTCACCTCGGGCGGGTTCACCAAGGGGGTGGCGTAGGTGCCACCCACCGTGCCGATGTTGGACAGCGTGAACGTGCCGCCCCTGATGTCCTCGGGCCGCAGCTGGTTGGCGGCCGCGGCGGCCTGCAGACGGGCCAGCTCGGCCGCAATTTCCACGATGGACTTGCTCTGTAGGTGTGGAACGTGGGGGGCGTCGGGCTGGATGGGCTGGGGCTCTGAGCTAAAGGGAGCTGAGGGACCGCAGGGTCGAGGTGGAGCATGTACGTGGGTGGGAGGGTGGCATTTGCTCACATCGAAGAAAAGACCAGGCCCCGTTCCAAAGTGATGCATCCTCCTTCTCCTCCTCCACCACCTGCATCTCACCATCTCCATCCCCACACCCAGGTACCTTACCTCGACATTCTTGATGTTGGGAACGGCCAGGCCGTGGGCGGTGGCCACCGCAATGCCAATATTCTTGGCGCCGTGCTGCAGGATGGAGGCCTGGTCGGGGGACAGGCTGGAATTGACCAGGGGGAACTGCTCAAGCGCCAGCGCCGCCGCCTGCAGGGGTGGTTGGGGGGAGGAGTGAAAAGGATGCTGAGCTTGGGTGCGAGATGGAGGGTTGAAGGGAATAGGCCTCGGTCCAGGCCATGCCACGCCATATCCCCGACACCAGTGCTGCCAGAGCCCGGCAGACGGCGCGCCGCTCCCCTCCCTCCACCCTGAACCTCCACTCCCCCACCCCCAACTCCCAGCATGCCTTGATGAAGAACGGCATATACGTGAGCTTGGCGCCCCCCAGCACGGCCTCAGTGCGGAGCAGGGCACGGAGGGCAACCAGCGCATCCATCTGCACCTCTTCGCAGAAATGGAAGTGGGGCACCGCCCCCGCCGCCGCCATGCTCTTCACCATGGCCTTGCGGAAGCCGCGCAGCGGCACGGTCGTGGTGCCGCCTCCTGCACCGGCGGTTGTGCCGGCTCCAGCGGCGGGGATCCTGCCTGCTGCGGCGTCGCCGCCCGTGCCGCGCTGCTCGGGCACGGCCTGGCGCACCGCCGCCGCCTCGGTGGTGGGCACCGCAGCCGCCACGTCGGCCGCCACGGTGGAGGTGGCGGCGGCGGAGAGGCTATCCAGATGGGCCTGCACGTCGGCCTTGGTCAGGCGGCCGCCGGGGCCGGAGGCGCGCACCTGGGCCAGGTCCAGCGAGTGCTGACGCGCCAGGTGCCTGACGGCCGGGCTGGTGAGCACGCGGGAGGGGGTGGCAGAGGGCGGCGCAGGGTCCTCAGGGCTCGAGTGCGCTGCGGGCGACGCCGCAGAGGGCGCGGGACCTGCGTCCGAGTCGCCATCCCCAGCCTCCTCGTCGGTCTCGATGCTCACCAGGTTTTCGCCCACCTGGACCATGGCCCCTGCCTCAAAGTGCAGCTTCACGACCTTGCCTGCCAGCGTGTGGGGTGCGGGAGGGGTTGGTGCCGGCCGCGTGGCGCCGGGGAGGGACCCAGGCCTCCTACACGCATCAAATATGCCACCCTGCACGCAGCAGGCACCCACGATACCACCCACCCGACAGGGAGCTGGTGATCTCCAGCGTCGCCTTGTCAGACTGGATCTCGCACAGCCGGTCAAAGGCCTCGATGGTGTCACCCTCCGACACAAACCACTGGACCAACTCGCACTCCTTGATGCCCTCCCCGGTCTGTGCCAGACTGCGATGGTGAGAGGCGAAGAGTTCCTGAAGGTGCAGGACAGTCCGGTGTGGATTGCCAGGCGTGTCCCGGGTGGCCCTCCCCGACACTCCCGCATCTCCGACAACGACCGGGACTCACGGGAAGGGTTTCACGACACCAGCGAGAGGGATGGCGCTGCTGTGAATGCCAGCACATGCATACTTCCCAAGATCATATGCTTGAGTGCGTGGAGGCTGGCTGGGGATCTGCGCAGACTCGGGTGATTGGAATGATGGCGTCCAGGCCGCGGCCTGACGCAAGTAAAGCAAGCGTCTGGCCCCGAGACGGGCGATGGAGATGCCTGTGCAATGCATGACGCCAAGTTTGCGCTTCCCCAGTACTGTGCCAGCCACAGTGATTGCATCCCAACGGCATGTATGATGCCGGACCAGACATGCGCAGGGTGCCCGCGGCTCGTATTTTTGGCCCTGCTGTGTGCTGTGCTGCTCTCAGATCGATCCGATGCGCGACGGTGTCCGGGCCAGATTCTTAAAACACAGCTTCCCAGCTGATCGCTTGGACTGGATCTTGATTTCTGTTTGCAGATCCGTAAGCCCTCGGTGTTGTCGTAACCTCGGATCACCACACACTGGAGCCTGTGGGAGGGATGTGACAGAGGCCTGAGTGCCACCCGCATCGCTGCACATGGTGTGCTTCACCTTTTACATCTTCAACCGGAAGGGCGTGTGCCAGTACTACCATGAATGGTCCCGGTCCAAGCCTTCCCGGGAGGGCGGCTCTAAGCAGGAGGACTTCAAGCTCATGTTTGGCCTGTTCTGGTCTATGAAGACATTCTCAGCTGCAATGGATCCCAAAGGGTGCGTCTCGGTCGACCAGTCAAATAAAATGGTGCCGTTGTGCCTCTGAGACCAGTGTTCATTTCATCAAAGCCCCGTTGTATCACAGGACTAGCAAGCCCCAGGTGGGGGTGCCAATGAGGGCGGGGCAGGGGTGCGCCTTCCGATCCTTCAGGACAGACAAGTACAAGCTACACTTCATGGAATCACCCTCGGGCATCAAGGTGAGGGCATTGGGCTTCGGCTGGACAATTTGCACCCGTCAGGCGGTGTTATGCCAGCGCGCTGGATCTGACTCCTCCCTCACTTCCCCACAGTTTGTGCTGACAACCGACCCCTCGGTGGGTGACATGACTACCGCGCTACACCACATCTACTCTGTGCCGTTTGTCAACCAGGTCCTAAAAAACCCGCTCTACGTCCCTGGAGAGCCCTTCCTGTGAGTCGCTCTGGGCAGGATCCGTGCGTGAGTGGGCACGAGCCCGGCTTGCTCACTCACTGCTCCCTCCCTGATCTCCCACTCCCCTGCGCCTCAGGTTCGAGTCGTTTGCCTCGGCACTGAACAAGTACATGCGCACGCTGGGCCTGCTGACATGAGGCTGGCGAGTGACAGAGCACGCTGGGACGGCATTTGTCAGGAGAGCGGCTGATCTCGGCGGCGGCGACGCATCTACATCGCCGACCGGCAGCTCGCCAGACAATCTTGTCTCAGTCCCACCAGAAGCTGACGGAGAAGCTGACGGTGGTGGCCTTGACAAAGTGCCACCAGCGAGGCGGGATGTAGAGCACCTCGCCCGGCGCCAGCTCCCACTCGCTAAACTCCAGAGCTGCCAGGCTGGGGAACTGGGCCAGGCTCGCCTCGTCCTCGAGGTCGATGGTGCTGGAGTTGGTGTGCATGCCACTCCTGTGCATGGCGATGGGTACGAGAGGTTGTAAAGGAGCGGAGAGAAGTGCGTGGGCCGCAGGGGACTGGGTTCAAGGGCCAGCCGGGGAGGTTTTGAGGCTCGATGCGTGGCAGGCGCTTCCAGATGGGTCGATGGTCGGCAGTAAAGGCCTCTGGAGAGTGCAATCAGGAGCATGAGCATCCCAAAAACCATTCTACCCACTGGTGTGGCGCCAGCACGTCGGTGCAGGCCGGGGAGTAGAGTCGGACGTACTTTCTTCCCACCACCTGGCACAGCAGGTTTTGCGCCGGGTCCTGGTGCAGTGGCGTCACCTGCTTGGTTGAAGGTGGGGGGGGGGCCGGCTGGGAGAGGGGTTGGGCTTCGTCGAAAGCGGAAAGTATGAATGGGCCTGGTACTATAGGCCCGCCTGGTGCCACCCAGAACGCGCAGGAGCCCCTCCACTGGAGCACAATCCGATCAGGAGGTGGCCACGCCGCGGGGGCGACGGACTGCAATCTCCCGATCACCCTTTGCGCCCGCCTGGCCGCGCACCCAGTTCCCACGCGCCACACCCCACGCCCCGCCGCCGCGCTCCCTCTCAGCCACGCACCGTGCCGGCTGGTCCGAACCAGGCGTTCACGGCGGGGTCCTCCCCCCGGCCCAGCACGCAGTAGGCCGGCTCGCGGATGTCGCGGCGCAGCTCCGGCACCTGGTCGAAGAGCGGGTGCTGGGCCAGGTAGGCCCCCGCCCCGCCCGCGCCCAGGATGTGGTCGGCGACGAAGGAGTCCAGGGTCATGAGGCGCGTGCCCCAGCCCTCTGCCAGGTAGTGCCGCCCCGTCTCCACCGGCACCGTGCGCCGGCCATGCGCCGCCGCCAGGGCGCGCGGGTCGCGCCAGCGCTCCAGCGCGGGCCAGTCGGCCATGGCGTCCAGCAGGACCACAGGCCGCGCAGGGCCGGCGCCGCCCATGAAGTCGCGCCAGAAGGCCTCCAGGGAGGGCGCGGCCACGCGCGGCAGGCGGCGCGCGGGGGCAAGGAGGGAGCCGAGAGGCAGCGGTGTGGATGGAGGGGGCGCCGGGCTGGGGCAATCGCTACGGATCTCGAGCGCCAAGTCTGCTGCCCCGCGGACCCCCTCCAGTCCCGCGTCACAGCCCGCACCCTCCTCCCTCCCAGGCCTGGCCGCGTCCAGCGCATCGATGGCGGCATCCACAAACCGTCTCAGCAAGGGGCCGCCCAGCAGCGCCGCCAAGTCCAGGCAGCGCAGGGCGGGGCCGGGGTCAGGGGGGGCGCTCCGGCCCGGCCGCCGGACCAGGCCACGGCAGGTGAGGAGGCTGGCGGCGGTGTACGCGTCTCGCCAGGCCAGGCCCACCTCGTGCCAGTTCCCGGTGTGCAGCTTCTCCCAGCACAGCGCGACAAGGAGGTCGGGGAGATCGGGTGGGTGGGATGGATACTCTGGCGACTCGGCATGGGCAGCCGCCCCTGAGCCGGCCAGGGGCTCCAGCAGCGCGGCCAGGGCCTGGGCGAGGAGCGCTGCCACCGCCGGGCCCCCGCCGGGCGTCTCTCGCAGGGTGGCCAGCAGGGCGCCCCACTCGGGTGCGGACCAGAGGGCATTGCCTGGACCCAGGGGTAGCTCTGCAGCCATGCCCGAGACAGGCAAGGGTCCCTGTCGGGCCCCCTCCTACTGGGCTGCCGCCGGGGCTGCGGACGCCTCCCCGCGCAGCAGGGCGTCGAGCTCGCCCCAGTCCTCCAACTCCTGCACGGAGTCCGCCACGCCCACCAGCCGGCCGTCGACGTGGAGCTGGGGGAGCGCGAGGAGGCCCTCGGAGCCTGCCAGCATGGATGCTCGGCGCTCGGGGGTGGAAGCTAGGTCCACCTGCAGGGGACACGGGCAAGCCTGTGAGATTCAGACGTTGCCCAGCTGCATGCTACTCTTTGAAAATATCCACGCACGCGATAGGGGCCTACCTCCTCGTATGGGACCTTCTTGGCGTCGAGGATGTGTCTGTGTGACGGAGGTGTGTTTGGAGGGTGAGCTTGAGCGTCGCAAGGCTCCCGATCACGGCTCCTCGGCGAGTGAGTAGAGCGTGAGAGAGCAATTAAATAAAGTAAAGGTTTTCCAAAATCCGATCACTGCGCATCAAGCCTCATGCGCACCTGATCTTGGTGATGTCCGTTTTCACCTTCAGTGTTGCGGCGGAGGTGGTGCTGTATAGGACGACCTGCACCATCGCGGCTCAAGAAACATGCGTGTGATAACTATTTTCACGCGTCTGAAGAGTTTGTTTCAACATTTTCGCAGCGATGGCCCCCACTGTCACCCTGAGCATGGCGAACAAACGACCGACTCGCTGACGGCATTTTGAATGGCGGTGTCGGAGTTCATTTCAACGCAGCAATTTAGGATTCTGCGCATCAAGAGGAGGACATTCCATGGCCCCATCCCAAGATGGGCATGACGCATGTGTAGCTCAAGACAGCATTTGGGAATTCCTCGGCTTGAAGCAAATCATGTCCTTCGCCATCAGAACCGGGCGCGGGGCGAGGACGGCACCTCCCCCACCCGTGCCAGGAGGGCCGCCGTCTGGAGCTGCATCGCAGCGCTGGGCCTGGTCTCCATCACGCCCGTGCCAGGGTGGAGGGGCAGCCTGTGCCGGCACCACTCCTCCACCGCCAGCGTATCCCGCGCCGACCCCGTCCCCGCCGCATGCTCCAGCAGCAGCACTGTGATATTGTTGGAGGTGCTTCGTGCATCTGTCAGTGCCCGGGTCTCCACATCTCATCCGAGACCCCAAGAACTTCCTTTCGTTGCCCCCGCCGGGCCAGTCAACCCCTCCCGCCCACCTCTGCTCCATCTTCTTCCCTCCCTAGCCTCAACACCCTCCCCTCCAGGATCCTGAGCGCACCCACCCATTTCCACACCTCTTCGACCACCTCAGACAGAGCCCAACAAACGGCCACATACGAAGAACACCCCTCACCTGCCACAAAGGCGCGTGCCATGGCCATGGCCAAGTCCCTTGCCCCGACCTGGGCCTCGTCGCCGGCAGGCCCGGAGCGCAGCACAGAGCGTAGCGTGACCTCCAGCGCATCCAATGCCGCCACGATCGTGGCGGCCGCACAGCGCACCACCTCCTGTGCGGCCCTTCCTGCCGGGAGCTGCGCCGACTCTTCGAATCCCTCACCCGCCCCGCCTCCCACCCCCAGCCCCCCCCCCGCCGAGTCAGCGGCCCGCGCGGCGCGGCGCCGGGCCTCCAATAAGAAAGCGTCGCCGGCCCGCGCGTCGGCGCCCAGCGCGCGCAGCAGGTCCAGGCTGAGCACGTTAGTGGTGCCCTCCCAGATGGGCAGCACCTGCGCGTCACGGAGGATGCCGGGCAGGCCGCTGGACTCGACGTACCCCACGCCGCCGAAGAATTCCACGCCCTCGCTGGCCACCGCCACCGCCGCCTTGGCGGTGAAGAGCTTGGCCAGGGGGGTCAGGGTGCGCAGGAGGGAGGCTTCTGCGGGGGAGGCGGACCCCGCCTCGCCGCGGCCCAGCAGGCGGGCCACCTCCAGGGTGAAAGCCAGGCAGGCCTCGCACTGCTGCGTCATCCAGCTCAGCGTGCGCAGCGCCAGGGGCTGCTCGATCAGCAGGCGGCCGAAGGCGCGACGCCGGCGTGCGTAGTCCTAGTTATGGTTTGGATATGGGGGGGGAGTATTTTGTGCGTGTTGGAGGTACGGAAGTGACGCCCGTGAGCTGCAGGGTCCATGCATGTCTCCCTGCAAACCGTATTCACCGTGAGCAATGTGGGAAGGCAGGCGAGCATGACACCAGAGATGATCATTGGCTTCATCTGAACCCACAACGCGACCGTCACCCCTCAGTCAGTGGAGGCAGCTGAACCCCAGCGCAGCCGCCCTACCTGGGCCAGGGCGGTGATGCGGCGCATGAGGGAGGTGGCCGCGCAGGCATTGTGGTACCGCGTGATGTTCACCATGGTGGCGATGAGCGGTACGCCCCTCCCCATCTCGGATATCTGTGCGGTGCCAGGGTTGGGGGATGGGAAGGGGTGGAGGGTGCTATTCGCCGCAGGGTGCAAGTATTGAACCGTGCTCTGATGGGGTGAAAAGGAGCCCCGAAATAGCAAGGTCTGCGGGTCAGGCCCTTCCCCCCCGAAGCTTCCCTCGACCCTCCCAACTCAACCATGCACGCCCTTCCTGCATCCAGGCCACAATCACATCACACACCTTCAAGGCGCGCAGCCCATCCAGGGCCAGCTCAGCGGTGGGAAGCTGCTTGGTACCCAGCTTGTCCTTCAGGCGCACCACCTCAAAACCCTGCGTGGGAATCGTGCAGTGAATGAGCCGTGTGGACTCTGGCCATGCATGATGTGACTGCACAGTAGATCATGCAATGTGTGGAAGTCGATTAGGCTCTGACATTCAACGGATGCTCCTTGCATGCTGCAGGAGCACAGACACCTTGGCAGCCCGTGGGCCAAGTCCATCCACCCCCTCCCTCGCCCCTTCGTGCCCTGAATTCTGACCTCACACCAGGCCCCCCCTCACCTGTGGGCAGCCCTGGTCGTCCCTGACGATGGGCACGTAGAAGAGGGAGAGGCCCCTATTTCCAGGCTCGGGCCTGCCGCTGGAGTCCAGCTCCCGGGCCAAGGCCATGGCCATCTCGCCGTCTGCCGCGGAGGTGAACCACTTGTACCCCGACAGGCGGTGCCAGGCTCCGATGCCCCCCGACCCCGCCACCTCCGGCACGGCCAGGGTCTGGGTTCCGGCGGCGACGTCGGACCCCCCCGCCTTCTCAGTCATCCACTGTCCGCTGGTCCAGAAGGTGCCCGGGTCACGGGAGGTGAGGTGGGAGAAGGCCTCGCCCAGCTCGGGGTGCCTAGACCTGGCAAAAGAGGGGCCGATGGGGGCAGATCAGGGTCATGAGCAGCTCGGATGTGCTGAGAAGTGGGGGAGGAGGGTGGAAGTGGGGTGACAGAGGAATGCCCCATCGCCTCGACCAAGAACACCACCCCTCCACTCAGGAAGGACTCGGTCGAACAACCAGCGTCCCGCCCTGCGCCCGCCAGATCTCTATGCAAACACGCCCAACCCTTCGGGTACACACCTGAGGACCTCGCAGAGGCGTGCGGCGCCGTCGGTCATGGCCAGCGGGCAGTTGAAGAGGCCGGAGCTGGCGCCGTACAGGTACAGCTTGGCGGCCTGCACCACGCGCGAGGCCTCCCCCTGGCGACGCTCGTAGGCCAGGCCCACCAGGCCTTCTCTGGCGGACACCGCCTTCTGGCCCTTCCAGCCCTCGCAGGTGGCCACTTGGTCCCGCCTCCGGCCCCAGGCATCATACTTGACAAGGCTGGGGGGCTCCAACTCCGCTTGCCGGCCCATGTCCTTGATGGTCGTGGCCACCTCCCACCCAAATCTATCTGTGATGGGGGTTGGGGTGGAGGAGATGCTCGACAGGGAGCGGTGGAGGGTGACCAGGCAACATGGCATACCCCCTGGTCACCCACCCGGCTCCCGGTGGTAATCAGCATCCAGCCAGCAGTGGGCAGCTACGACCCTGAGCCTTACGCACCCAGGTCCCGCGTTACGGAATCGAGGTGGACAGGAGGGATCAGGCGCTGCAGCTGCTGCCGGAGGAAAGGGTCGTCGTGCAGCTGGTTGCCCAGCTCGGGAGGCGACTGCTGGTGCACGCCCGATGCTGCCATTCTTGGAGAAGGGGCGGGCAGGGCCCGACCGCTGCAACTACTCGGATTATACGATCGAGAAAATGTATCTGCACCCGCATGCTCATGTGTCCTTCGGGAGAATGTCCATGTCGGAAGATCGGTGCCCATTCCGGAGACCGGCTGGCGGTCGGAGAGCGTGCTGCACCCTTTCCTTTGCCGGCATTGTGCCAGGGGTCTGATCACCGTGCCAGAGCGCAGAGCACCCAATCTCAGCCCCGTCCTCCTACCCACCGCCAGTATCGGTATCACATAGCACTGGTGGGTTCACGGCCACCCTCCCCACCAGCAGCCACAGAGGCGGCGATGTAGGAGGCCAGGGTGGCGATTATGGGCACGACGCTGTCGACGCGCTGGTGCCAGGCCTCCCACGAGACGAGGCCCAATGCCAGGGGCAGGGTGCCCGGCAGGGATGCCGGCCCCTCCAGCAGCCGGGCCCCCGACGCACGCGCGGCGCTGAGGGTGGCACTCGCCGCCCATGCCGTGGTGGAGACCAGCAGCCATGCCATGCCCGGCAGGGTCAGCTGGTTGATCGTCTGCGTTTCCAAAGGAGGGGCGGGAGTTGGATAGAGCGTGGGCCTGCTACCATGTGATGCAAGCTTTTTGGGGGGGGGCGCGGCGGAGCG